GGTGTAGGTTGCCGTGCTATCACAAAACCTCATAGTTTATCAAGCTGGTCATGACTTACCTCCATATCTTCAAGGGAGTCCTGCTGGCCGATGCAGCGAAGAACATTCTTTTTGCTCGTTTCCTGCAGCTCGCCGGCGAGGAGGATTTCGTCGAGAATATAGTACGCCTTGGTGAAAGAGAAGATGATGTCGAGCTCGCAAACGTTGCCGTAGTACTTGTCCATCTGCTCGACATATCGGTGGATAATTTCGAGGGTGATCAGCTCGTTATCTTCGGAGGAGCATCCGGCGATGAAGAAGAGTGATGCATATCGACGATAGACAATCTTTGTATCTACATTGATAGTTAGCTCAGTCTCATCAAAACAAAGGGGTTAGGAAACCGACCCTTATATTCTAGAAAGTTGCACATGCGCGTTCTTCGAGCGAGCACAAGCTGAGATACATCCTTGACGATCTTGGCCTTATCCTTGGGGGATAGTGTTGTGAACCATTTGGCGAGACGCTGTCATGACTAGTCAGTGCTGTTGAAGCTGCCCATGTGAGTACCCAAGACACACCACTTTGCCCTGACGGGATAGGAGAATGAGATATCTGCAGTTAGCCCTCGGTCAGCAGGTGGGAAAAATTGGTATGCCACGGAGAAGCATACTGAATGGCCATGATGGTCTATCGAGCCTGCTTGGAGGCGTGCAGATAAAAGGCAGGGAGAGGTTTCGAAAGATGACGGAGGAAGCAATTCTGGCTTCAAGGTGGACACGGAAGCAATTTTGGCGGGTTGGTGACGAGTTGACGGCTCAGGCCGACAAGCCCAATGATGAAGTGAGGTAGGGTGGTCCAGGCTCCAGCCAATCCGCTACCTACCTACTGGGCGCGGGCTAGGCCTGGATTCCATCCCCTCAGCGCTGACTGGGCTGGGAATCTAGGGAGTCAGCGGGCCACTTCAGTGGGTGTCTACACTGATTTACTACCTATATCGATGGACGGGACCGGAACCTAGAGAGCGAGCGCCAGGCACCATCTAAGGTTAACATAAGGCAGATAAGCTAAAGTTAAGGCGAGTTACCTATTCTCTCAGGACTTCCATACTTGTATAATACTATCCAATCCGATCCTGTCTCTAATAAAGAAGTCAATAGGTAATTGAACCAGTCAATGCCATTGTAATTGGCACCCACTACATAATTCTGCACATTACAAGGAGGCTCATCTAGTGCCGACATACCTTACTGTACCTTAGTAGGTAGGTAGGCACATACTTAAACCCCACGTACACAGAGGATGATAAAAGAATCTCCGACGTTAACGTGAAAGAAATGGTAATGGGTACCATGTCATCAATTGGCCATCTCACTTGTCAAGCACGCGACTATGCGCTCGTACTGATGTCAGGTCCCAAACCACTCAGGGCCATTCAGAGCCAGACTCCCACTCACTTCTGTCCCATAACAATGATTCGATATTTGCAGCCATGACAAACGTAGAATCATTACACAAACCTCAAACTTCGCTTCTGATTAATAACTCTGACCTCAAATAATTAGACATTACTAAGCTATCTGCCTTACCCCACGTATCTCAGCAGTGGGCGCGCCTTGGGATAGACTAGGTATTTTGGTCTGCAGGTTTAATACTGGCGTGTCCGAGTTTACGCCTCGAAGACCCCGACGGCGAAAATTTCCCTCTTGTCTACTACTAACAGTCTCTCCTCGAACCATTCTGTTCTCTTCTCATTTGTTTGTTGGGATCACCTCTCTCGTATTTTAGTATTATAGCTATCTCACATAATTTCACCATGACGAGACTTATTCTATCTACTGCGTATGTATCTAGCTCACCTCTCTGCACTTTTAATGGATGCTTACAAAACCCCTCTCGACAGCAATGTCATGTTGGCAGGCCCCTCCATTATCCGCAAACCCGGCAACAACAGGTCTAACCTCGAACTCGTCAATTCCCTGCGTGACAACATCGCCGAAGCTCAGCGCGACTATGCGATCGATACGCAAGAAACAAACGGCTTCACGAACGGTGACACGCCCAAAGGCAAGCACACAACCGTCGACCTCTGGACTGAACAAGAAGGCGATGCGCTGTACGTTCCTCGCATTAATTGGAACGCCGCTGGCCTCCAAGAGGAACCCAGCCAGTATGAGATCACTGTCAAGTTTTTCGTTCTCCCGGGTATGCCAGTAGCTGCTCGGGAACAACACGTTAAAGAGGCTCTGGACTTGGTCCGGAGAGAACTCGGCATTCAGACCATCGACCTCCTGATTGTATCTTTTCCTGGCATTTCGTTTGAAGGAAACTGCGAATGGGAAGCGGATAAGACCAATGCCCAGCAGGGCAACCTCGAAGAGGAGCTTGCGACTTGGAAGGTGTTCGAGGGCCTACACAAGCAAGGCCTCGTGAAGCGTCTTGCTGTGGCCGAGTTCGGCAGCGAGAAACTTGGCGCTTTTGTCAAGCGTGCGAGTGTCCGGCCCGTCATCGACCAGATCAACCTGCGAAACTGCTGCGATGTCCCACCTCCGCTGAAAAAGCTAGCCGAGGAAGAAGGCGTGGAATTGCATGTTCACAACGACTGTATCGATATTCTTCCGCACGGCACTCTTCGAGAACTTCTTAGCCACGGGCACAAGGGCGCAGGTCTCCTTGCTGATACGGGTAACAGCGGTGCGGGTTTGACTGGAGAGATTGTCCCGGAATGGGTAGTGCGATACACGGCGTTCGTACAGGATCGAGGCGTCATAGAGAATAAGGGATATTTCGCTGGAGCGGAGCTGGTGGCACGATAGTTGGACAAATTCATTGACGGCCGGGAAAGAGGTGGAAGACAAAGAAGGAGACAAAGGAAGAGATGATGATGAACCACTGGGTTACTGGCGTATTGGATCTCCAAGCCACATAAGGTGGAATGTAGTGGCATCATTTGTCTATTTGGTTTTTTTTATACGCAAAACAGCGAGCATCAGATACATGGAGTTTAGACACTGTGGTAGGGAAATTGGCTGCAAGACGGCTTTTCTGTTTTTCTTTTTGTTTACCCAAGCATGCTTCGTTTGCGGCCTCTCATCCGCACGTCTTCTAGTTTCTTGAGAACAATCCGGGCCTGTTTGAAGGTCTGGCCATAGGCCTCAAGCACCTCTGGAAAGAGGCACTCTGCTCTTGGATGTGTGCTACCAAATGCTCTCTCCAGAACGTAGAGATCCACTGCCCGGTCTTCGTCTGATATACTCCCACTCGCCAGACCCAGATCGATTATAACCAATTCTCCGTGTAAAGAATTGTCATCTTGGGGGTTATCTGGAGGTTGCAACATCATGTTGCTTGTGGTCAAGTCGCCATGGACGATGCCAACCTTGTGCATGTTGCCAATAGCAGTGCCGATCCTTCGCATGAGGTCCTTCAGCTCGGCATCGTTCTCTATGCCTTCAGTTCTATTTCCGAGCCGCTCATTGATGCTCTTCCGAACAGGACCTCCGGATATCCATTCCAGCATCAACCACCCAGCAGATTCATCCACAGCATATACAGCTGGTACACGGACCCCATCGCGGCGACACTTTGCAAGAATACGAGCTTCCGAAAGTATCCGGTGTTTCGTGAGCCGCTGATCAAGAATCGGGTGACGCCAGGGCTTGGGAGGGCGATACTTGAGGGCGCAGGGAATATCGGGTAATAGGTAAGTGGTTTTGTAGAGGCGACCCTCGGCACCTTGGGTGATGAGGATTGGCGGGGTCGACGCGGGGTATTCGAGGATCTTTGGGAGGGGGAACTGGTGCGCTTGCGGCGCGGGGTCAGCCGTCACCGTCGCTGTAGTCGTCGCCATGAGCAGTGGAGGTTTGTAATATTGTTGAGGGTTATTGGGAGCAGGAGGACGAGGGTGGTAATAGAGAATACAGAGACAAGCGATACCAGTGGAGAGGGATCTGATGATTGTGATAAGCTGCAAGACTGGCGCAGGTACAGGGCATCGATGAAGTCAGTGGGATGTCAGAACCTTGCCTGAGGGACAAGGGAGAGGAGAGAAGAGTATTCGAATAATTCCATTGGCACCACTTGGCTCACGCCTTCAACGGCCCGCGAACTTTTTACTGGGTGCCATACTGACAGCGGCTAAAGCCTTGAGTAACGAATCAAGTTTATTCCGACTTATGGCAACGTCAACCCGGCCAACTGCTCTTTACCCCTCCCTCCATGAGCTTGAATCGCCGGGGGAATGCGTTGTCGTTGTTCAAAATATCCAACACATACTGTACTAGATGTCTTTCATAACTTTCATCTCAACAAATTAATGTCTTTCAGCTCTCCTTCCTCAAGCCCTAGGCTTGATCCACCAAGGTACTACCCTTCTCCTAACCCTAATTCCAGACCCTCGATATCCATGCTTTTATGGGCTTGGGCGCTCTGAGACACTACTCAAGTAAGCCTAGCATAGTGTCATGCAAGAATTGGTCACATCCAACCGATGGTGATACTCAACCTGCAGGTGAACCCACACGGAATGCAATCCATACGCCAATGCAAGGTGAAAACCCGCTGGACGGTTCGGCAGCGCAGCATTAGTTTTTGGATACTGCCAATCTTGAGCAGGCTTGTGGTGCATCCTCTTAAACCATGACATTAACAAGTTGTGATGGCTACGTATCGTTATTGAGGGTTTGTATAAACCACCATCAGTCAGCATCACCAGATACCCTTCTTGACCGTTTCTTCCGTCCGGCACTTCCGCGTACATCGTCATCACGGTACCTCAGGCTTACCCATTCTTCAGTATGGGCCATGCAAAGTACCCAGCATCAGTCAGACAACTACAACGCCATCAAGTCGCGCATCGCATCCCACTGGACTGGCCATGACCATGTGATGACTGACTGACTTGAATACCCTGCCCTGTCTCTCTGGGCTATCGTTAGTTGCAGATGCACCTGCAGGGGGGTGTTCTTCTCGATCCCCAGCCATCTGCACCAAGTGGTCCAGCACGAATATGGAAGCTCGGCTTGTGTATGAGCCTAGAAATTAGGTGCCTCTGTTACTAAGTTAGTTAATTAGAGCGCACACAAACGCGCGGGTTCTCTTTGATAGGTTCAGATACTGCACCGGACGGCATGATTGTTAGGATTGTTGAATTTGGCTGCGCTTGCGCTTGTTCTTCCCGTCGTCATCGCTCATGTCCCTTGCCTTTCACCTGCATATTGTGTGCGCCTCTTCCCCTTCTCTCCCTTTTCTCTCCCACAAACACACAACTCCCCAAGGACCATGCGCGATAGCCTCACCCTCCGCCTCGACTCGCCATCTAGACGCTCTGCTCAACCATGGCCGAGTTCAATCTCCTCCAGTGGACTATCATCCTCATTCTGATCGCTGTCATTCTGTCCCTCATCGTCCTCGTCCAGATCATCTCGTCTTACACGGCCGCGTACCAAGCGGCGCCGCTCGAAATTGCAACATTTCTTGACACTGCCGACTTTTCTGTGCAGGAGAATGAGAGCTATGATCGTGACGTCGCAAAGGTGCAGCGCCTTGATGATAAGATACGCTTGACACGGCTCCTAAGGGAGATTCAGAAGACGGGTGATGATTTGCGCGAGGATATCAATGGTGTGGTGATCGAAGAGGACACCACCAAGCTAAAGACTTCCGCCAGGCTGTTGTGGGCGTCGAAGCGATCGAGGTTAGAGGATCGGGTTCGTAGACTCGACATGCTACGCATGCGCTTCCTTGTCGTTTATATGGGCGTTGTCGCATCACAAACAAGCACCACTACTCATGAGAAACCCTCTGCGCCGCCGCCTCCGCCACCTCTACCTACGGCAAGGGATCTGGAAAAATCACCAGTTTTTAGAACGCCAACCCGTACTGCTCTTCCTAGAGGCTTAATGGAGGGTATCATCAACCGTCCTCCCTTGCGCAGTTTGACTACCCAGGCTCTCGTTAACCACCCAGAGCCAATACCAAAACCTAGCCGTAAGGGCTGGGCGGGAGTTGTTCAGGAACTACAAACATCGCCTAAAATGCATCAGCGTCATGCTTCAATTGAGCGCGCAATGTCAAGGTCATATTCCAAGTCGCCATGATCTCGAAGCATCGGTTTGGTCCTAGACTTCAAGGTTTTCTTTTCATTTTGGTTTCCGGTTACAGCGACACGGCATAACTCTTACAGGCTGTCAATTGCGACGATACAGCATGGACATTACACGATCCTCATTACACGGCGTTCTTAGTGCGGCCAGGTGGCCGCCAACATATTTACAAAACAGCATAGTCCAGCATGACAGCGGGCACTCACCACGACCACAGGAGGCTTGGTTGAATGAGTAACGATTAACGACGGGTTGGTTTGGCGAGGATGAGGCCTTGGGGGCTTTGTTCACGAGGAGTTTGGTTTCTTAGTTTCACTTCACTTCTGTAGATGGGATGATACCCCTTTCCCGCGGCCTTAAGTCGTGGTATTTCCTTAGCACGGTTGCTTTTGTCTTATTCTTAACACTCTGTTCGCTTTTTGTCCTATGAATCACACTATTCATGATTGAGACATGCTTCTTCCTTTTTTTTTTAATTTACTGCTGTTCCTGGAAATTGGCAGGACAGAACTGTTTATCAATGACCAGAGATAGCTTCGGGGCCGGTACCATTTCTCTCCCCGACTGTAGCATTGTTAGTTATAGTTAGACACGAGACGAATTTATGATGTTGGCTTACCGTCAAGTGCAACCAAGAAACGGCTTACACAGTTGTAGCATGCAACCTGTTGGTGTAAGGATAAGTTTGATGGCTCCAGAGGGACAAGGGACAGTCTTACCGTGGCTGTGATTTCCACAATTTCTTGTTCGTTGAAATAATCCCTCAGACGATCAAAGGTCTCGTCCTTGACTTGAACGTTCCTCGTCATCTCATCCGTGTACAACAGCACAGCCCATTGCTTCTCTGATAGCTCAGCAGGCCGCTCACCAAGTTCCTCACCCTTGATAGCCTCAAGTCCAGCCTCGGACACACCACCCTTGACAGCGAGCGGCGCATGGTGCTTCCATTCGTACCAGGCCTTGTTGCACACAGCAATACGTGAAATTGCAAGCTCTCGGATGTCGTCGCTTAGAGAGGTCTTGGTGCGAACAGCGCCGAGGAATGAGTTCCAGCCATCAGCAACGTGAGGGGAGTGAAGAAGAGCTAAATCCAGAGATTGGAGAGGCCGAGGGGCGCGGCGCTCTTCTATGCGCTTTACAATGGCGGTATGCTCCTCAGACTTGGTCTCAGGAGGGTTGGATACGTAAGGAACACGCATGATGGCAGATGGTATGGTCTAAGTCGATAGGAATATAATAGCGTGTAGATATAATGTTACCGAAGGGAAACTGCGTGTTTTATAAGTTACAGTGTAAAATGAGGTTGAGAAAACAGGTTGCGAGAAAGGTTACGTGAGAGGGATGGTATTCGCGTTTGGTTATATGTTCACCCGGGCATGCGCGGGGTCGGGTTTGAATCGCAACTCCCGACTCCACTTCCCGAAAACCGGCGCCGACACACGGAGGTTAATTCCGGCATTTCTAGATGGCGCGGGTGTGAAAAGCAGCAAGTCTCAAAACTACTGGAAAGAATATAAAGAAGTTTTCCGAACCACAATCAAGTCTTGTCGGGTTAGATATATAAGGATTGGAGTGTAAGTCGTCGATATTTCATGTAATTCATTCCGCGGTCTCGATCATGGTGCATTCATGGTAGAAAAGCGGTTCCTCTATCCGTAAGCCTCGGATACTGAGTGAGCTCGGAATTTAATTGAGACCATTAATAGAATTTC